CCAGGAGCAGACTTGCAGAATGTGCCCTTTGGAGATGTAATTTATTATATATGCCTGAGTGGGTTTTTTTGTTTGTGTGTTTTTTAAAAAAAAGCTAAAGTGGAAAAAAAAAAAAAAAAAGAATAGGTTCTCAGAGCAGCCCTATAAAGGGTTTCCAAGGAGCAGTTGGTGGATTTGAACCATCAACCTTGCAGTTAGTAGTCCAGTGCTTATCCTACAGTGCCACACTAATATAAATCATGCAAAATGAAAGAAGTATAATCACGGTATCATTTTCTTCTTTTTCTGAAACTCATCTGTGTTAAACCTTTTCAGACTGTAACACATATAGGAAAAACCGAAGTTGCTCACCTCAGTGATAAACAGTACCACACTAGGTAGAATACTGACTCTGGAGTAAGAAAATCGTGGACTCTGTTCTCAGTTTTGCCATCTGCTAGATGTGAAATTACTTACACCTCCTGGAGCCTTAGCTTTCTCATCTATACCTCCCTCCCAAAGTTAAACACATAAGACAGTCCCTACAAACTATCTACCACCAGACCCAGAACTTAGTAGGTAACTCAGGAGATAGGAGCTCCTTTCTAAAGAAAGATGCCACACTTGATTTTGTTTTAGTCTCCTCACCTCCGCATTCCCGAGTATCTGTAGACATTCTTCATTAGGTCGAGGTTCCTTGGGAAGTTCAATTTCAGGTTCCTGTGTCTCTAATACCGGTGAAGTATCGAGTAACGAAGAGTTACCAACCACAAATGTAGCTCTGTTGGAGGTGTCAGTTTCTGTCACTAAGGGTTTTATAACTTCAACTGTTAAAGAGATTTAAAAAAGAAAAACAAACAAACAAACAAACAAGAAACTCAAAACACTGAATATCAAATGACAATTTCTAAAACAGACTCAACTTTTTCACATAAATCAGCACTGGAGGAATGGAGATTGAATAGAATAAAAAAAATCACCTTTGCTTTCTCGGTTTATCCCTGTCTCTTCCTGCACTGCTAGGACTTTCTGGTTACTTCTGACCAGTGAGGGTTCACGCCTACAGCAATTGTCTGAGATTTTCTTTTGGGTCACTATAGGAGACGTGATTGGGTTTTTTAACGACAATGTAGATTCTGTCTCTGCTTGTTCAAAGAAGATGTACTTGACGGCCAGAAGAAGAGCTAAACTTAGAGTAATAACTTGCTCAATATCCATGCTGACCATTCTAAATAAAAGAAAGCAAATTAATATATTATTAAGAAAAAGTATAAAGGGCACCACCCACCTAAACTTACAAGAGCATAGAGTGTTATATAATTGACATGTAACAAAACAGACCACAGTTAACTTACTTAGAGAGATAAAACTGCCAAAGGGAGACATTTGGTTCAATTCTCTTAGAAACGTTTTCATCCAATCCTAATGAAACTTTCGAATTTTCTGCTGTACTATTTTGGGGAGAAGGATCCGCTATCCAGCGACTGTGAGCATGAACAAGAACCAAGCCTAGAGACTGAAATAAAATTTACATAAAGCAACAGTTCATTAAGATATACAGCCCTTAACATTATCTAAGAATGAGTTAATCTAGACAAAATGTTTGTCTTCCTGTATCATCTATCAATGGGCTGCTCTATTTTTTTAGACCCACAATTGGGTCTCAGACACTACTGTTCGTGAACCCCCTTACTAGGCAAAGAAAGCCTCTGAATTTGCTGTGACTAAACCTAGTGACCTGCTACGCTATTGGAGACACCCTGGAGAGCACATGTTTTTTAGAAAAAGTAGAGGAGCCTGAAAATTTTGTTTGGTGGAGAAAGACAGGCGCCTCAAGGAAATAAGAACAGGTTAAGAAAAAAGAAAGAAGGTAGAACATTAGTGAAAGAGTCCAAAATTGTACAAAAGAAACAGATAGGAAAAAAATAAAAAGATAAAAAACACAGCAATTACCATAATCATCTTGACCCTCTGAGTTACGGGATTTGGTTTATTTTCTTCTTCTTCTAAAACGCGGGCAAAATGGCTGAGTTGCCATATTGGACGACCTTCACGGCTTTCCCGTGAAAGCTACAAAAGAAGTCAGTATTAAGTTAGGTACTGATGTATTCAAGTACTGATTCTACTTAGGCAAACTGACATAATTAGAAACATTACTCTTCTACTAATGTCAAAGTAAGAATCGCTCTTACCTCTAGTACCAAGGACACACAAGCTGGAAAGAAAGTCATGAACACGAAGTAGTTGGCAAGAACTGACATGCAGCCAAAACAGCACATAATTTCAAGTTGACGCACCCCTGGTTAGAGAAAAATTATATTTATACATCACAAATACATGAAGGTAAATACAAGCCCTTTGCCATCTACTGGAAAAATAATAAGCAACTCAGAGATAACGTCATGCTACTTAAACACAAGAGAATTAACTACTCAAGGACAGAGATCTTGTCCCCAACATCACAATGCTAGGCCCAATATGGTGCCTAATTAGTCTAGATAAAGGGCTGGAAGCGCCTTTCCAGATGAGTATTGGTTAAAAAACAAACAAAATCATCAAAAACAGAGTAGGACAAAGAAAGAGAAGATGGCAATAGCGTGAAATAAACCAATCACCTGCTTCTTGTTTTCACCAGAGCAGACATCAACAAAGAAATTCTAAGAGTAATGTCAGATATTTTAAGAGTTAAAAGTCAGAATTTAGGAACAAGCAGTACAAATCTAGGAGTCCTGGTGTGGCGCTGTAGGATAATCACTGGACTGCTAACAAAGTCAAACTCACCAGCCACTCCTCGGAAACCATATATATAGGGTTGCTGTAAGTAAGAACCAACCTGACAGCACTTAACAATAATAGAGCAAATCTAAGAATGATTTTCTTCTTCAGCTACAAATGTATGCTTTAATACACGAACTGCTTACTAACCTGACATGGTACCCACTCCAATCACAAGACATTCAACAAGAGCATCAAGGGTGAAAGTGGGACCTAAAATTGCCATTCCACGTGCAATATTTTCCCTTACTTCATCCTAAAACAAAAATCAAACATAGCAATTTTTAAAAATGCTAAAGTTTTAGGGTTTATATTAAAATCTAATTTATATTCAAAGAAGAAAACATATAGTAAGACTAACAGTTGTTCACGATACAAAGCTTGCTAATAATGTAGGTGGTTCAAAAAAAAAGAAAAGAAAACATGTAACATCCTGTGCTTACTTTTCCACTGACGAAATCTTTCCTGGGAATGTTCCCTGAGGTGGTACATCAATCTTGTCAAGTTTCACTTAATTAAGCCCTTCAAAATTTTGCATTTTGGCTACCAATTATAGAAGGTCTTAGTTGCAAAATTTGTATAAGATCATGTTTAGTATTATAAAAACTTAAATAGTATCCTCTCAACATGTTCAATAATAATTTTCTTAATATGGTCAAATAATTATAAATATTTATTAAACACATAAATTAGAGCAAAACAATGTACTATTTTATACTCAGATACTGATGCAATGATGCAATATTGTCGGGGGGGAGGGGAAAGCTAGGTTCTTTAAAGTGACTAATAAACACTAAGATGATACTTTATATGGGAAATAGTAATAGTGTTAAATCAAATAATTTAGAAAAAAAACTACTCCAGGCCTTCTTACATTAGATTTTGCTCTACTCTGATGTGGTTCACTAGGTTGGCATTCTTATTTATCCAGAATTTTCATTACTATCATTCCTGAAAATCATCAAAAGTAGAATGAGGAAGATTCCACATTCCAGTTGTGATGGCATAATGGTTGAGACGAATGATAACAGGCTTTTCCTGGGGCACTTCAGAAGACTATCTTAGGATTTGACAACAGACTTGAAATTATGAGCAATTCCTAAATTTGGGACTATGAAGAAATCCTATCAATCTTTCCTATTAATGCTGAAAAACACAAAGGAATACTATTCGTATTCCTGACTTGTAAATAACACCTACCTGTGAATTAGAACTGAGGGCAAATTTTGCTAAAGTACTCGCTCTGGAAAGGTCAATCAAAAGCAGGAAAAATGGCAAAGCTTCACTGGAAAAAATAAATAAGTAAGGCAATTAGAACATTCAACTCAGGAAAAAGTTTCACAAATTATTTCTCCTCCTACATGACGTGATACATGCATACTAATGCGTGCAACTCTTTAGACTAGAAGATATAGTCTATAATTCTTTGGCATCCCCAAAGCTAAACATATCAGTTACTTAAAGTTGTTTTAAAAACCTTAATATTAAAAACAGAAATATATTTACACAGAAATATACTTTGATTAGTTTATAACAAAACATTATTCCTTAGTAAAAAATGTCTTGAGTAGCACGGGGAACAAAAGGTGAGAAAGAGATCATTTTTGTCATTAATCACTACTTATGGAAGGACCCGCTAAACAACTTTTCTGGAGAGTACACTGGTAGTCAAAAGTTCTAAAGCTCTGCACACCCACTATCCCACTTCTAGGAATAGATCCTAACGAGATGATTATAAATATGAACAAAACTATTGCTACAAAGCTATTCATGACAAGGAAGTGAAACGGAGAGAAGTTAAGGAGCCTAAATATCCAAGCCTAAAGGATTAAAACACAGTTTAAGCATACAGCAGAACACAACCATAACAAATCATCATTAGTTTATCATAGAAAGATGATCATAAAGATCATATACTATTATTTTATTAGGCAAAAGAGTGTTAACAGGTATTAAATTAGTTAATAGTAAACTTGTATGAATTTTTTTCCCATGTTTTTAAAAAGTTTAAAAAATTTATATATTATCTTTATAACATGGAAGGTAAAGCTCTTAAAAAACAGGATGAAAGAATATATATTTAGGCTTCAAATACTTACTTCAAGCCTGTCAATTCTTTATCTAAGAAATGAATGACGACTGTGCTAAATACGAAACTTGAGAAAATTGTGAAGAGGCCAGCAATACCTAAAATGACAAGATTCAACAAACTGAAAGTTTCATCCTTTACTACACAAATAACAGCATTTACTCTTCTAAGGTAAGTCTCTGTGGTAGCGCAGTGGTTACGAATCAGACTGCGAACCTTAAGGTCAGCAGTTCGAAACTACCACGGGAGAAAGATGAGGCTTTCTGCTCCCGTAAAGATTTACAGCCTCAGAAACCCTGTACAGGGTTGCTATGAGTCGGAATCGACTCCACGGCACATAACCACCACCACTCTTATATGATACTTTGACAAAAACAGTACTATTTTTCTCTAATTAAAGTCTCAAATGTGTATGTTTAATCCCCAATAGTAAGAAACTACTGAATGCCTGCAGCACACTTTCAGCAAATGGGGAAAATCTGATGCCACACAAAGTGGTTAAATATATAAATTTATCACCTAAAATATATTTCGATCCAAGTTGACGTAAATTCTGGAATTGGAAGTAAATATACAGGATTGCTATGCACCGTGTTATTGTCAGAATTATAATGTCACTGCTCAAAACATCCTACAGGGAGAGAGAAAAACAAAACAACTTCAGTAACTCTGGGTTTTAAGAAAGGCAATCAAATATAAGAATTTTTATTTTGTATATATCATCAATTTACATATTATCATGACAGTAAAAAAATACAAAACAAAGTAAAATAAAAATATTATATATGCAAATCAAAATCCACAGTAATTTCAAATCATTAGTCACTTATAAGAGCTCCACTTGTCAAATGAAGTCAATTATACCTACTTGAGCAGAAACTACAAAAGCATATTTAGTACATTTCCATAACGTATAAATAAATAGATATTTGAGGTAAGATTTTACTTTTTTATTATGTGGTCTCTAATGAGATACACCTTGCGCAAAGTGAAAATATTACTTTACTCTCAGCATCAAAATTGATTTCACCAACCTCTTCAAACTTTGGACACTCGTAGTTCCAACCACAGATCTTATCATTACCCGTAAACATGTTCATGGACATCATACAGATGGTCAGTGTCACTGTGCCCACTATGACCTCCCAGGGATGGGAGGCCACAAAGAGGCCATGCATTCGGAAAAGTCTTGACAACATAGTAGCTACCGGGTGGTCCTTGGGTCCTGAAAAGAGTATGAAGTGTGAATACTTAGATGGAACCCAAAATACATTTTAGGAAAACAAAGCAACAGCTATCAAGTCAATTCCAGCCCACAGCAAGTCTACGCAGGGTTTCTAAGACTGTGAATCTTTACTGGAGCGGAGTGGCTGGGGGTTTTGAACTGCTGACCAGGAGGTTTGCAGTCCAATGCCTAACCCACAAAACCACCAGGGGCTCCTTATTTTTGTTGTTGTTATGTGCCGTGGAGTCAGTCCCGACTCATAGTGACCCCTGTATAGGGTCTCTGAGGCTGTAAATCTTTACGGGAACAGAAAGCCTCATCATTCTCCCACGGAACAGCTGGTAGTTTTGAACTGCTGTCCCAGAGGTTCGCAGCCCGATTTGTAACCACTACACTACCAGAAAAACAAACAAACCCACAGCCACTCATAGTGATTCTGACTCATAGTGACCCTATACAGTGTTTGTGACGCTGCTCTTTATAGGGGCAGACAGCCTCAATCTTTCTCCTAGTGCAGATGGTGGCTTTGAAATGCCAAGCTTGCAGTTAGCAGTCCAGTGCTTACCCTTACAGTGTCATGAGGGCTGCTATTTTTAGGAAAAGGGAGTTTTAAGTCTTGCTTTGTACACAGAGTGCCGTATCCATATATATGAGTAATACTATTTGAAAGTGTTCGTCATAATTTGCAAAAAAAAGTATAAAAATTAAAATAAGAGGACTATTAATCACAACACATAACCCTCTGTTAAAAGCAAACTCTTAAAAAGGGTACTTATACAAAGGGTAAAACCAAAAGGTAAACATGGATAGGTATTTCTGGAAATTTTATGTCTATGTTTCTGTGTTTCACAAAAGGTAAATCAAACCAAAGTACCTTACTCTAAATTACCATTAGCTTTTTTACTTTACCCAACATCTGCCATTTGCAAAATGATGTAGAGAAAAGACTGGGTTTTTTTTCTAATAGACATCTCTAAATTAACAAAAAGCCTAATGATTTTGCTGTGGCGGCTATTTTTCTTCTACTAGAATCAACAATGATCTAGAAGATGACCAAAGGAAAAGCATTAGATGTGAAAACCTCACAAACCTGGAGCTGATCAAAAGGCTATTAAAATAGTACCACTAGTGAGTGCTCCTTAGTTTCCTTACCTGATGCTATCAATGTTATTGTACATCCCTATGGCTACTGGTAGCGTAGTGGTTACGAATCAGGCTACAAACTTCAGGGTCAGCAGTTCGAAACTACCAGTGGTTCCGTGGGAGAAAGATGAGGCTTTCTGCTCCAGTACAGATTTACAGCCTTCCCTGTACAGGGCCGCTAAGTCAGAACCAACTCCAGGGCACGGAACAACGTAAGAGAAAAGCTGTATTTATATGCAACACTAACCCTTTTACTGCTAATGTATGTTGCTGCTTGCTGTAACTTGTCATGGCTGCTTTTCTGTGCTAATGAAGTATGTTTGGTGTAAAAAATAATAATAAATGTCCATGAAGTCACAGTGAATTAAGGGCTGCCCGCCTAACCACAAGGTTAACAGTTTGAATCCACCTGCTGCTCTGTGGGGCAAGATACAACCTCAGCAATCCGGTCACTATGAGTCAGAACCAACTCCATAGCACACAACCACCACCATCACCACTACAACTAAGATGTCCTGGCGGGAAAATGTAGGATAAGCACTGGATTACTAACCACAAGATCACTGATTCAAAGCCACCAGCTAGCTGTGCCTCTACTTAATGGCACTTATTAACAACCAAGACTAAATTTCACATTTGTTGGCTAAATAAGTGATTGATCCATTGAGAACAGAAAATAAAAAGGTAACAAATTAAAGAAAAGATGGCATTAATCTACCTAAAGGGATAAAACAGTAACAACAAAAAAGGGTAGCTTTTAGAAACCCAATCCAACATGCAGGTTGAAATTTAAAATGACTTACACTCACTGAGGCATATCAATGCATTTGCCTGAGTATTCACACTTTTGGACCCTTTCATCCTCCAACAACTTATACTCATATAGAGCAGCTGCTCAATAAATGCCTGTTTAATTAAAAACAAATTCTGAAACTATGTTGTTGTTAAGTGCAGTCAAGTGGGTTCCGACTCACTGTGACCTTGTATAAGGTTTCTAAGGAGTGGCTAGTGGGTTTGAACCACCAACCTTGTGGATAGCAATTGAGTGCTAATACTACAGGACCACACCAACACTTTTATTGGCACACCTTGAAACAGACCTAGAGAGAGGGTTGTTGTTGTTTTAATTACCTAGCTATGGATATAATATTCCCCCTCCCCCAGATAAAGATTAAATGCAGACCATTCTTAACATATTAATAGGGGACAAGCTACATTTTATACACTCCACTGGAAATTAAACAAAACCGTAACTTTCTATTATACTAGTAGGAACTGGAGAAAAATTGTGGGGCTTAAAAAGTATTGTTAAGTACCACTGAGTCAATTCTGACCCACAGTGACCCTGCATAGGGTTTCTGAGGAGCGGCTGGTGAGCTTGAACCGCTAACCTTGCAATTCAAACCAAATTTGCAGTCCAGCACATTAACCCACATGGCCACACCAGGACTCCTAGAGAGCTTTAATTATATCTTACACTTGAACCCTATTTACAACCCAGTTTCATAATGTCTTTATCACTTCCTTCTAACATTTAAATTAAACACAAAAGCAAAACCCACAAACTAGTCTAAAGGATCAAGTAGCATCAATGTATCAGAAAGTGAATTAAATAAAGTTTTCAAAACTGTCTAAGTCTTTACAGGAGAAGAAAGCCTTATCTTTCATGCGTGTAGCAACTGGTGAGTTTGAACTGCTGACCCTGGGGGAGCAGTTCAGTGCTTATCCTATACAGTGCCACCAGCCCTCCTCAATTTAGATTATTTCCTATTATCAAATTAAAGTTACTCTTTGAGCCTTTTTCACTATTAAAAAGTTAATTCAGTTGAATTAAAACCTGAACAGCTAGTTTTTTTTTTCAATTTGCTTTCAACTAGTTTATCAGTATTTACTTGTAATCCTACAAGTACATGAGGCACATTATGTTTTCCCTCAAGAGGATTTCTTGGTAGCAATGTCAGTTCGCCAGCATTTTTTCCCTAGGTGGAAAGTTGTTTTTGTAACCCTTGAAAAAAATCACACATGCTCCCGTTGAGTCATGTGAAGACACAAACTCAACAGTCAAATGTATGCAGGTGTGTCAAAAATAATCATAATTGCAAAGCAATCTCATTTCTCATGAGCACCTTCCCCATTCTCCCTTGACTATGCAATACATTTACATGCCACAGAATACAATCCTCCATAGTCAAACATACTGTTGTTGTTAGGTGTCTCAATCATTTCTGACTCAGAAAGACCCCAGGCACAACAGAACGAAACACTGTCTGGTCCTGTGCCATCCTCACAGCGTTGTGCCACAATGTGCTGCTGCCTCCATCTCTTCAGAGGGCTCCCTCTTTTTCACTGATTTTTCACTTTACCAAGTATGACGTCCTTCGACAGGGACTAGTCCCTCCTGATAACCTGTCCGAAGTATGAGAGACAAAGTCTATAAGGAATACTTGTTGTTGTGAAGTGCCGTTGAGTCGATTCTGACCCATAGCGACCCTGCGTAGGGTTTCCAAGGAGCAGCTGGTGAGCTTGAACTGCAGACCTTGCAGTTCAATCGGCTTTACAGTCTGGCATATTAACCCACAGCGCCACACCAGGACTCCATAAGGAATACTAGGAGGCTCTAAAACCTTGGTAGAAAAACTCCATTACCTTTCGAGCGCATTTTTCCACAAACTTCTTTATGTCTCCTAGGCTACAAGATGTGTGTGTGTCGAGTTTCCAAGAACAATTTGTAGGTTTGAACTGCCGACCTTGGGGTTACCAGCCCAGTACTTATTCTACAGTACCACACCAGGGCTTAGCTTAGCCTACAGGTTGTTGTTAATTGTCATCAAGTCAGATCTGACTCACAGCAGCCCTAAATAGGGTTTCTGAGGAGCGGCTGGTGGGTTTGAACCACTAATCTTGTGGTCAACAGTCCAGTCCTTATCTAACTGAACTAAACCAGGAACCCAGGCTACAGGATTGTTGTTGCAAATTCAACAGACAGCATTCAAGATATACTGCAATAAAAAACATTTTTTATTTTAAAAACAAGTTAAACAGGCAACATATGCCTTGTTGAATATACTGCAAACATTTCCCAGATTTGAAAGGATAGAATCTTTAAACTCTAATGCAATCTGTTCAGAAACCACCCACCACAGCCAATTGCAAAAAAGGATGCTTTGGCGTCCTACTCTGATTCTTTCCTCCCACTCAACACTCCTCCTGGTCTACACATTCCAGTACTTGATTATACACTGTCTTACACTGTTCCCAAATTAATATGTGTTTTATCTCTTTGAAGGCTAGAGCCATGGTTTATATTGCAGTCATATTTCATACCAACAGGATCTAGCATTCTGCTGCTCATCTTAGTATCCTGGAGAGAGTAAAAAAAGCCTGCACTGGAAATGTAGATTTTATACCCAGTTCTATGTATGCTGACTGTTTGACTGTGGGTGAGGCACATTTCCTGTCTGCATTCACTGGCTTCCTCCTAAGTGGCGCCATATAAAATGTATATTTTTGTAAGTAAGAAACACCAGCAATTTCATATGAAATTGATAGATTAGATCCCATAATGTAGCTATTCTGAAATTAAGCCAAAAGAAACAAGCACAAACCTTTTTTTATTTTTGAAATGATGGTGCCACACATAATCGTTTTCACATGAACAATTAATAATTTTTTAATTTTCATTTTGCTAATTCCTACTTTTTCCCTACTGCCAAGTTTATTAGAATTATTAGAAATTCTGGAGAGGCACTATAAGAAAGCAGGCCTGCAAAATCCAGGCTTTCTACAAAGAACAGTCCAGGCTTTTGCTACGTTATCTCTAAACCACAAAGGGTCTTTCACAGCACAGACAGGCACATAAATTCACAAAATAACACACAAAAATGCATTCTCTATCTTGAGAGATGCTAGACTTCTGTACAACTTTTCAGTACGACCCAGAAACCAACGTTTCCTATACATTTTCTGAACTGAGTGTAAGAAGGCGTGTCCTGGAACCCTGAAATATTCCCAAAGACCCTTTAGAAAGAAATACATCGACCTCCTCCCAGCACAGACAGTGTTGTGTTTTGAAACCTCCAAAGTGCATTTCTCGGGACCATAAGCTCATCCCCAGAATCTACTAGGCACGAAGGCAACGACACCAGCACCAGACAGACATCTCCCCAGACAAGAAAGAAACCCTTTGAGTCTTTAGGGGAGTCGCATCCCCTCCACCGTGTGTCATGGAAATAATCGCACCACGGCTGTTAGCAGCTTTTACGGGGATTTTTCCCGGCGCTAAAAGGTGCTGACCAACAGCAGCGCCAGGGCGTGCACCACCAGCCCTGGACCGCGAAGCCCCATCTTCTGTCCAGTCCGGGAACTACCGGCCCGGCTGCCACAGCCCCGCCGCTCTCCTCGACCCCGGGGACCTCGGTGGTCGCCGCGCCCGGCACTCCCTCCCTCCGGAAGTGGCCCAGAGACCGTATCTGCGCGGCCAGCACCCACACCTCGGGCGCACAGCCGAACAGGGTCACGCCCCGCCGGCTCACGAAGGAGACGCCGCCCGCCGCTCTGGCCCCCCGACCGAGGTGCAGTCCGCGGCCGACCCGCCGGGCCTCAAGGACGTCTCCTCGCAGTCCCCGCGGACCGGCCGCGACTCCAACAAAGCCGCAACCGCAGCCACTTTCCGAGGTCGAGAAAATTTCGCAAACCGCTATCAACAAAACAGAGGCCAAAGTTCGCTCCTACCTCACCTCTTGATCTCACTAGAGGCCACCAAACCCAAGCGCCGGCGCTCCGGCGGGTCTCCAGTCAACGGAGACGCGGAGCGGAAGAACTCTCCATTTACGCATACACGGAGACGGGCGAGCATGCGACCAATAAGAAAGGATCGTCCGATCGTCTAGCCAATCATCCGGGGACTGCTCGGCCTGACGGCGCTACGTCACGAACGGTCGCCTTAACAACCGCCCACAGCTCTCACCCGTGCCGAGAACGGGCACCGCACCATCTCTCACCACGACTCAGCCAACCAATGACGAGTCGAGTCCTCAGCTCTAGGCTCATCCCATTGGTCGAAGAGCCGTGGGGGCGCAAGCTTGGGAGCTTCCGAAAAGGCGATAGGGGCTCTGCCGAGGGGACCTCACCTATCCTCAGGGTGGCTGTCGGAATACTAGGGGAGGCAGAGATTTGAAGCGAATTTAGAGCGCTAAGTTAACTGAGCACGAGTCAGATTGAGAGTAGAAGGCTCAATTAGGTACTAAAGAGAGATGGAAGGAAGTAGAGGCGGCTCTGAAAAAAGAGGGACAAAGAAGGGAAGTGGCAGCAGAGTGCAACCCACACCTCACACTGACCCGTATCCAAAACCTAAACCAACACCTTCCTGTGACTTACTCATTTGTGCAAGTGTCTCCAGTCACCCAGGTCTCTGCCTCTCTCCCTTGTGGGAGCCACCAGTCACACACTGTCGATTCTCTCTGAGTCTTCTGCCCTCACCCTACTGCAGACCTTTATTACCTCTTTCCTGCAATACTGCAATAGCCTCCCCTAACTGGTCTCCCCACTTTTAGGCGCTTCCACCCTCCAATCCATCCTACACTGCTGCCAGTAATCTTATTATTATGCCATACGCCTGCCCCCAAACCATTAGGAGTTTCTCATTGTCTACTGGATTAAAGAGACTCCCCAGCTTGACACATCACCAGGATGACCCCACCCCGCTTTTCTTGTCCTCCTTTTTGGTACTTCGCTCTATGAACCCTACTTTTCAGCCAAAAGAGCAACTGCCCTTTTTTCAATAACACTCAGTACCTTGTAACCTCTCTGCATTTATGTTCTCTCTGTTGAACCTGGGTGTGTCTGCCTGTTTTCATTGTCGGAATCCTATCCTTCAAGGACCATTTCACATGCCACCTCCCTTCCCGATTCCCTCAAGCACATGCCATCATCGAACATGTATAACATTTCCATAACATTCTATGACTTGACTTATTGTGTTTGAAAATGTCTTAAGTACTGAAATTGTACCTCATTCAATTTTTAAATTTTTAAAAGGAGCTCTGGTAGCGTAGTGGTTATGAGTCGGGCTGCTAACCTCGCGGGCTACTAATCTCAAGGCCAGTAGTTCGAAACTATCAGCTGTTCCATGAGAGAAAGAGAAGGCTTTCTGCTCCGTAAAGATTTACAGCCCCGGAAGCCCTATGCAAGGTTGATATGAGTCAGAACTGACACCACTACCACCAATTTTTAAAATCTCATTTTGAGACAGTTTGGGATATAACTCTTTAGGTCATATTACAGGCATATCTCAGAGATATATTGGGTTCTGCTCTACACCACCATAATACCGGAAATGTGGCTGTGAAATAAGTCAAACGAATTTTTGGGTTTCCCAGTGCATAAAAACTTTTATGTTTACATTATACTGAGTCCTGGTGTGGCACTGTAGGATAAGCACTGGACGGCTAACCACAAGGTCAGTGGTTCAAACCCACCAGACACTTTTTTAAAATCCTACACAGGGCTGTTGTGAGTCAGAACCGACTCTGTGGCACTTAACAACAACATTACATGTGCAATAGCATTATGAAAAAGTTTGAAATACTACAAGAATTACCAAAATGTGACACAGAGACACAAAGTGAACAAACACATGCTGAAAACCAGTGCAGAAAGACTTACTTGATGCATGGTGGCTACAACTTTCAAATAATTTTTTTTTAATTAAAAATTAAGAAATTCCCAATAAAATGAGTTATGACTGTATACAATCAGTGGGTGCTTTAATAAACATTATCTTGCTAATTTCTCATAATCTTATAAATATGATCTCCATTTTACAATAAATAAGAATTTGTTAAGCAATTATGGGAAGATTATAGAACCGTGGTATGATGCTGTAGGATAGCATCAGACTGCTAGCTGCAAGGTTAGTGTCTCAATCCTACCAGCTGTTCCTTGGAAACCCTATACAGGGTTGCTATGGGTCCAAATGGACTCTACAGCACTAAACAACAACATAGAGATAATAATAAGAGAAATTGGGATTTGAACCTAGATCTAAAGTTTATTCTGATTCTATGTTTTGTTGTTTAGTGCTGTTGAGTCAATCCCAACTCATAGTGACCCGGTATAGGGTTTCCAAGGAGCACCTGGTGGGTTTGAACTGATGACTTTGAGGTTACCCTATAGCTTTTCCTACAGTGCCACATCAGGACTCCACTACTATACTGTCTTGCTTTAGTACAAGACCTCTATTCATAATTCTTTATAAAAAATATTTTTGGAACATCCGTTATGTGCAATGTACACTGAAGATAAGACTACAAGCATATGAATCTTGCTAACTGCCTTGATGGGGTTTATCTCCTTACACAGAATGGGGACTCAGTCAATATTTTTTCAATATAGTGAAATCATAGTGGAAGGAAAGAGTTTGCAGAATAAAGAAGGCTGACGCAAACAGCCGAAATTTGTAATGCTCTATATGGTTCAAGTACACCAGCCACTCCTCAGAAACCCTATACAGGGTCTCTATGGGTAGGAACCAACTCGATGATGGCACTTAACAACAACAATTGTGTGCCATATCAAAAACAAAGGAGGAGGAGAAAGGAAGAAAAGAGTATCCTTGAAGTGCCTAGAAATTCTGGTGTGTGTGTATCCTGTCAAAGTTTAAATGACAAGCTATCTCAGAACTGGAAGTTACAAGATTGAACAAACGCTGACTAATTTAAATTCAAATAAGGATTATGAAGTTGTCACCACAAAAGGCTTTAAACAAAGATTTGGAAAATTTCATTCCCAAACTCTTTCTAGAGAATTCTAATAGGTATATGAGTTCAAAAGCAAACAATGAAACTATCTCTAGTTTTATATTCTTAAAACAACTCTTTATCTTTCCCAAAATGTTTTTCAAAAGAAAATTGCACTTAATGCTATTGAATGATGATGCAAGAAGGAGATTGTAATCATTGCAATGAAATAATGCATATATAACTAATGTTCTCCTATGTAAACTATTATGCAATTCACCATAAAAATATATATTTTTTTAAAAAGTGTTTTTGAGAAGCCAGAAAGATAATTCAGTATGTATGACTATGCCCTCTATAATATCATTGTTTAGACTATATCTTAAGAGTGAAATAAAGACTGTGCCATTTTAGGAGTTAAAAAAGAAAGAAAGAAAATTGCACTTTACTATTCATTTGCATTTAATAAATCATAAAATTTAACATGGACATAGTCTAAAAGTGGAAAGCAAGAGGGAATGTTAGAGAAATCTATGCCTTCTACTTGTAGGTTTACTCTTGTAGGTTTACCCTCAAAGTAAAGGGATTATAAAAATATAATTTTAAGTTGTTACTGTTAAGTGCCGTCGACTTGGTTCCAACTTAGAGCAACCCTGGATAGGGTTTCCGAGGTGCAGCTAATAGATTCCAATTGTGACCTTGTGGTTTGCTGTCCAGTGCCGATCCTACAGTACCACACCAGAAGAATGTAATTTCAAAAGTCCCTTTAAAATTAATAAATGACCATCATTGCCCTCTTAATCCACATTGCCCTTGTTGTTCGTTGTTGTTAAGTGCTGTTGAGTTGGTAACGACTCATATGGACCCTATGTAAGATTTCCAAGGAGTGGCTGGTGAGTTTGAAACACTCATCATGTGGTTCAAACCAACCTTTCAGTCCAGTGTTTTTCCTACAGCTCGAGGACAAAAGTAAATGCACTTAGCACTTAATTATGTAAATATGTTAGACTCCAACCTTCATTTTTCTTGTGTTTTGTTTTCATGGGTTGTGCTTTAAACTGGGAATTATGGATATATATCAATAAGATGTCTATGTGCCAGTCTGTTTCTCAGATGTTTCATACATATTGTTGTTGTTGTTGTCAGGTGCCATCGAGTCAGAACTGACTCATAGCGACCCCATGCACAGCAGAACGAAGCAATGTCCGATCCTGGGCCAACCTCACTACCGCTGCCACACTTGAGTATATCAATGATGCCACCTGGCCAATCCATCTCGTTAGGGGTCTTCCTCTTTTTCTCTGACC